ATGTTTTCATTTTTTTTTTAAATTGTGTGCATTGTGGACATTGTTTGTAGACAAATTAAAATAGTGAGACTATAAAAGAGAAAATAATTTTTAAAAACACAATTTATTTATATAAAGTGTTAATTTTCTTTTTAAGGACTTTATTTTAATTTTCCTGTTTCTTTATTTAATCCATTTAAAATCTTTTTTTTGTTTGTTTTTTTAATAAAATATGTATTTTTAATTGCATGGAAAAAATGACTTTGTAGTCCTTGTAGTCTTTTCTCAGGCAATAAGTAACTGTGTGCATTGTCATGGTTTTGAGGTTTTAAGGTAGTAATGCTTCACTGGCTGCTGTGTCATGTTTAGAAACACCAATAGCGAAAAACTAAACAGCACAGTCATGAAATCATAGTTCACACTCAAGACACCCACAACACAGACACATTTTAACTTTATAAGACGTACTACATTTAATAATATACTTTTCGACACACTTTATAACCTTATAAACAGACGGATTCAAACAACTTGCCATGCTGGTGGATTTGTTTAACCTCACGTGACTCGCATTGCTCAGTCGCGAGAAACTGCTGAGATTTCTCAGTCGAAAAAACGCCCAGTCATGGTTAGTGTAAGCATGTGGAACTGCCTCAACATTTTCACTTCCCTTCTCGCGAAATCTAGTGACTCAAATAGGAAGGAGAACGTATAAAAATGAAGCGAGGCGGTCAGGGAAACCATAGCCACAGCGAGCACTGTGAAGGCAATACAGGACGACAGATAGACCTCCTGCAAGAAACACAACAGCACAAGTAAGACCATGTCAAAACTTCATTTATATCCGTTACAGGGTACACATGGTGACATCTGATAACAAATATCTGTTGTTTTAGGAATGGAATCCACGAAAAGCAAACCAAGAGATGCCACTGGCAGGTAAAATGCTTTTTCTTTTCATACAGCCGCGATATTTGAATGAAACCACATTCATTTCATCATAATAATTATGACTACTATTCAAGCCCGAAGTAAATCATACCAAAAATACGAAGCAGATGTGTAGCAATTGCAGATGTAACGTTAGTGGATGTTGCAGTGCTAGATATAATGAAGACAAGTCGAGTGGGTGACTCTTACCAGCATAAGCTTATCTGTTCAGTTAACTGCTAATGAGGGATTGTGGCTTGTTTCCTCCAGTGATCTGTCTGAGCAGATAAAAGCAGCCACCAAAGACATTCATGTCAGAGCTGAGAACACACAACTGATGCTCAACTACCAGAAAGGACAGATCACGCAAACACAGTACAAGGTAAACCTACAGAAAATCAAGAAATGGTACCAGATGAACTATAAAGCAAACAATAACAGGACTTAAAGTAATGTTTTAGAACATTCAAATATGAACCAACAAAAGATCATGGAAGCACATGTAACATGGCAGTTCTATGTAAGTACCTTAGGGTTCTAAATATACCATGGCATATTTAATGGTATATTTAACAAATATAGTATTCTGAGCTATGGCTTGTATCAAACTACCATAGTAATTCCATCTAAGGGCTAATAACTGATTGATCTTCGATTATTTTTGATTATTAATCAATTTACTGGATAAAAATAGTAAACATTTATATTTCTAATTATATTATAAAAACATTTTATTTCCTGTAACTCAGTGAGTTGAGAATGACGCTGAAAATTCAGCTTTGATCAGAGGGATAAATTACATTTGAAAATATATTAAAACAGAAAAGTTATTTTAAATCGTAAGAATGTAATATTGCTGTTTTCTGTTTTGAACTTGACTTGTCAAAAAAAAAAAAAAATCTTACAAAGCCCAAACTTGGTACTTTTTATTTTGAGAGGGGAAGATATTTTGTACCATTATATTATAAAAACATTTTATTTCCTGTAACTCAGTGAGTTGAGAATGACGCTGAAAATTCAGCTTTGATCAGAGGGATAAATTACATTTGAAAATATATTAAAACAGAAAAGTTATTTTAAATCGTAAGAATGTAATATTGCTGTGTTTTCTGTTTTGAACTTGACTTGAAAAAAAAAAAAAAAAATCTTACCAAGCCCAAACTTGGTACTTTTTATATTGAGAGGGGAAGATATTTTGTACCATTGCGGAAAATTATTTTTTGAGTTTCTTCTGTTGATCACAAAAGAGTTACATTTATAACAATTAATAACAAAAGATATTTTGAATAATGTTGGTAACCAAACAGTTGGCTTCCATGCTACACATTTGGCACAGCTTGAGGTGGAGTAAATTGATACATTTTTCTCTTTTGTTTTTATGGGGGGGGGGGGACTATCCCTGAAGACGTCTGAAGTACAGCCACAGTAATTTTTTTAAGTACTAAAAGCTATCTTTAACTATGTAAATGTATGTTTCCAGCTCCTGCTGTGTTCTCTGTATGAGATCTACCGAGCGCTCGAGGAAGAGCTGGACAGGAACGCCGATCATCCTGCGGTTCAGCCCATCTATTTCCCTCAGGAGCTGGCCAGACTGGAGTCTCTGGAGCTGGACCTGGAGCACTTCTTCGGACCCCACTGGAGAGAGAGAGTAACAGTGCCTGCTGCCACTCACAGATACACCCAGAGATTGAGAGAGGCGAGTCTGAGAACAATCTCTTTAAGGAAATGAAATTGCATTTACGTTCCAGTGATTCTCATTCTAACTCTGTGCTCTCGGTTCCCCTTTAGATTGGCAAGAACTGCCCGGATCTCCTGGTGGCGCATGCATATACGCGCTATCTTGGTGATTTGTCAGGAGGACAAGTGCTGGGCAAAATTACCCAGAAATCTTTGGGACTGAGTGGCAACAAGGGAGTTTTGTTCTTCTTGTTTCCTGGAGTGACGAGCCCCAACAGATTCAAGCAGCTGTACAGGAGCAGAATGAACAGCATCGAGTTAACAGAGCAGCAGAGACGGGAAGTGCTTGACGAGGCCACCAGAGCTTTTGAGTTCAACATCGAGGTGAGCAATGACATCTTACACTCACATAAAAGAAATTCATACTTTTATGTAGCAAGGATGCATCCGTTTGATCAGAAGTCGCAGTAAAGACAGTTACATTACAAAAGATACACGTTTCAAATAAATGCTGTTCTTTTGAACTGTCTATTCATCAAATAATTCTGAAAAAACAAAATCCCAGTTTCCAAAAAAAAATTAACGGTTTTCAACAATAATAATGCAAAATGTTTCTTGAGCAGCAAATCGGCATAATTTAATGTGACTCTGAAGACTGGAGTAATGATGCTGAAAATTCAGCTTTGAAATCACAGGAATAAATTACATTTTAAATATATATTCAAATAGAAGTTATTTTAAATGGTAAGAATATGTACAGTATTACTGTATTTTTGATCAAATAAATACAGCCTTGGTAAACTCGACTTGTCACTTTTTTTTTCTTTCTTACAAACCCCACATTTTTTAGATATATAGAAAAGGAAGAGGTGAGACTTTAAAGGTTGACGTAATGTTTGTATTTGTCATTTCAAACAGGTTTTTGATGATCTTCAGAAAATGCTGAGCATCACAGAGGAAGCTTCAAGTGAGTTTCAAGAAATACGATCATTAAATGCTTTGAAACCGTAAATATACAAGATAATGATACTATTTTGCTTTTGTTTAGGTGACCAAGGAAATGACGCTGCAACCAAAACGGAGTCAAAAACCTTCTCCAGCTCTCCATTGCTACAGTTCGCATTGGGTGTGGGAATCACTTTGGCAACTGTTGGAATGGGAGTTTATGCTTTTTAATTCATAAGATTTTCGACCATTTTTAACGTCTTTATTCTATGACGACGAGGTCAAATCTACAGGCTGATCTTTAATAAACATTAATCATGGATATTATAAAACATGCACCCAGTAATAAATCAGGTGCAAGTAATTTAAAAAAAAAAAGTGTGAATTTTCAAATAGTTTGAGAAAAGTATGTTAACGCTCACCTTTTTAAAATGCTCATTTACCTTTGTAACGGCTTTCAATGTATTTCTGTGAAATGCAATAAAGCTATTTTTTACGTTCAACACTGATTTGTCTTTTTTGCTAAGAGAGACAAATAATTTCTTAAATGCTTTATTATGTTGACCATACATGACCATATCTTTACTTTGCCACAGACCTGACAATCAAATTCAATTTTCCACTGAAAGACAATCTGGCGCTTCTGAATCAGCGACTGTACGTATGTTTTGTTACTAGTTTAAGTATTTGCTATTGACTGTTCAAATGCGGAGTTTTGCGCAGTGCAGAGTGACGTGTCGCGTGTGTGTGTGTGTGTGTGTGAGGGGAACAGGGTCACATCACAGGAGAGTGAACTGTCTGTCAGAAATCATAGCACGTCAGCTGTCTTAACCACGGCTTGTGTACTGCATCATCACTGTGTCTGTCACGCGACTCTGTTGCCCTTTCGGACTTGAACTGATGGTAAAACTAACGACATTATTAACTGTCTTGATATTTACTTTGAAATCTGACACTCGCGATTATGGTAAGGGGCGTTACATTTCCGACGCGTGCTTGCAGTGTTCGGCCAATCACAATGCACTGGGTCAGCTGCCCAATCAGAGCAGACTGCGCTTGTCAAAGGAGGGGGCTTTGTAGAAAACTAAGCGTTTGAGAGAGGCGGGGCATAGAGGACAAACAGTAATGTACAGTATTTGAAAAATAATGTGTTTTTTGAACATTAAAGCACGTCAACATATTCGGTTACACCAAATACACAAAATAATGATCTTTAAAAAAAGCATCATATGACCCCTTTAATGTGGCTTGTAGTCATTTTTGCAGGCTAACATAATTGAGGATTTGTCAACTTGGGAGAACTGACCCACTACCTTTTTTTTTTTTTAAATATTATATATATAAAATTATTTTTTCCCCAAAACAGATTATTATTTTTGATTTAATAAATTGATCTGGCAATCAAATGAAATTGTTTTAAGCGGCACTCCTAGTCCTCCATAAGAAATCTACTGTGATAATACTGCAGTTTATTCCCGGCCTGAAAGACCAACACACTCACCGGACAGACTGCCGGACAGAGCCGCGTCCAGCGTGGACACCTGGAAGAGTCTCAGAGACTCGTCCACCTCTTCCTCTCCTGCAATGGGCTGCAGCTTCATCTTAGCGAGAGACTCTGCAATGCGCACCACAGCCTCAAGCTGCCTGCAGGACGACAGACCACCAACTAGTTAACATCAACAAGTGTATACTGTAAATAATTACATAACTACATGCAGGATGTATAAATATACATCTAGGAACAAAATGAGTAAAGGCAGGTGTCATAACAGTGAATAGAGTGCTCACCTGACAGTGATGGGGATGGACACACGTCTGTCGGTCTCTCTCTCATGTTCCTTCGCTCCGCTCCTCATCAGCACGTACCTGTTCTTCAGTTTCTCTGCGGCAGCCGCAGACAGACGAGGTCCACATTTCCTGTGTGAGTTAATGCATTATTATTTTGATATACAAACACAGATGAATGCTATTTCACACAGTGTTTATAGACTATGATCCAGACTTACGTTCTGCAGTAGGCGACATATTTCTTCAGCGTGGCCAGAGGAATCTCTCCCTCGACACCCTCCGTCTGCGTCTGAGCGCTCAGGTGAACGTTCATCACGTGCCGGGCCAAAGTCTAAAGAAAAACACACAGTGCATTAGTTCATGTAAAATCAAACTCTTCAATGGAATCCGTAAGCAGTGGTCGTTTTGTTCAGCCACCATGTCTCGTTGTTGGTCATGATGGTCTTTGATGATGAAGATCATGTCAAATCGAGACAGAATAGTGGGCATGAAGTCAATGTTGTCCTCTCCTTTTGTATCATCCCAGCGGCCGAACACAGAGTTGGCAGCGGCCAATACAGAGCAGCGGGAGTTCAGAGTGGTGGTGATGCCAGCCTTGAGGTGAACACACAAACGTTAATCAAAGAAATTAATCAGTCTAACGAGAACGTAAGCTGAAGAAAGTGGATTTCTATTGGTTAATGCAATCAAGTGAAAATGCCTGGTACCTTTGCAATAGAAATGGTCTGCTGCTCCATGGCCTCATGGATGGCGACCCTGTCATCTTCTCTCATCTATCAAAAAAGAAAGCAATAGTTCAGCATAAAGCCCAAAGCATTTCATAAGACTGCAAGAACACGACACGCATGTTCTGGAAATCCAGAATGCTTAGAAGTCCAACCTTGTCAAACTCATCAATGCAGACCACTCCTCCATCAGCCAGCACCATGGCACCACCCTCCATGACGAAACCACGAGTGTTGGGGTCTCGCAGCACTGAGGCTGTCAAACCAGCAGCACTGCTGCCCTTACCAGACGTGTAGACCTAACAGAGACAATCACTTTAATGCAGACTCTCCATCATAGGAAACATTTATGTAAGTGAAGACAAAGCGCACACACTCACATTTATCACTATATGAAAATTATAATTATAAAACTAAAACATACTGAATGTCAAAAATATTGAAATACATACACTGTCACAATCCTATATTAAATAAATATATAAAATTATGATAAAATATATTGCATCCCCTAGATTAAGTATTCATAATACAATTTATGATATGTAATAATATGACATGTATTATAATGATAAAATATAACGCATGCCACATTATAAGTAATCAACATACATATCCTACTTTGCTATATATATATATATATATATATATATATATATATATATATATACACACACAATTTACATTTAAAGTGCCCCTATTATGGATTTTTGAAAATGACCTTTCATGCAGTCTGTAACACAGCTCTAAGTGAATGAAAACATCCTGCAAAGTTTTAAATCTGAAAGTGCACCGTGTATAAAGTTATTGTCTCTCAAAAGAAAGAGTCAACTCTGAATCATTGAAATGAGTCATTTTTAAAACGACTCCCAAGCCATTTCATGTTGACGTCAACATGAAACATTAGCATATTGCCCGCCCACTTGTTGCTCTCGCAGACCTGGGAAAACTTGAATACTTGGTCTGAATGAAAATGCTAATTCATTTTTTGCCACTAGATGCCACTTCTGGAGCGGTAAAAATTAGAGCCAGATCGATATATCGTTTTACCGATATTATCAGCCGATATAAGCCTGTCGCAGATATATCGGTGAATATGCCGCCGATATTAATTTTTTTTTACAGAACATAACACAGATTAAATGCTTCTGAATGGCGTAATTATTTAGTTTGTCCAGCAGAGTGCGCTCCATTGTTTGCTACTGGTGACCCAGGTTAGTGTAGTGTAGAGATGTGCGGATAAGCTCAAACCTCACCCAAGTCTGCTGCTTCAAATTATCCGCCCGCCACCCACCCACACCTAAATGTGATCATCACATTACAATGATTCTAATTCTTAGTTTTGCATGATGATATAATGAATGGATGGTTCATTTTTAACAGCAGATTCAGTGACGTTAGAGACTAGAGCTGATCTGCGGATCACAGCACGCGTCTGCGGCGCATTAAAGCCTGTTGCGGCCACTCATTGCTGGTGATTACCAGTCACGCCGTGGCCCAGAACTCATGCTTATCACATCATATCGCTCGTGTCCGGTGTAGAATAGAACCCATTATAATCAGTGATGTTGTCTACACTGAATGCAGTAAACTGATGCCTCGTGCGGACACAAAGTTCAAATGATTTTCAACGGTCACTTTGTCGCGTCGCAGACACGGTGTCAGCATAGTTTGTCAGTACAGTCAGTAACATAGCAGATTGAAAAGTTTGTATCTTTTTGCTAGTATGCCTTTATCCTAGTTGGAGAGACTCAATGCCAAGTAAATAAATAACAATGTCCCCCGTCTTTTACTCTCACAATGAGCTTATATTTGTTTGCTACATTAGTAGGGCCCAATGATTTCCGCGATGCAGAAAACATGAATGGAATCGCGAAATCCAGTCTTAAAAACGGAATCGACTGTATAATGCAGAATTTCATGGAATTGGTCTTATTTTTGATGAATAAATAAAAAACAGGTCAGTACACACACACATATATATATATATACACATATATACACTGTATGTAGACTGTCTGTGAATATTAAACTGCAAAAAGACTTATTTAAATACGAATCCTCATATTCCGCATGTTTATTTGATTACCAGAAAATACACAACACAGAATTTGTGAAAAAATATTATTAATTATTATTATTTACTCGTTTTAGATGTTTACATTTGGAAAAGCTGTGCTTCCTGCATAAACCTGCCCCTGTTGGTTTGGCAGTAGCTTGCCCAACACAGTTACCTTGTTTAATTTCTTAATTCAAGATATATATTTTGTTCTATTTGTGTTAAGTTATTTATAACAATTGAAGTGAAGTTTACGGTTAAGTGCACTGATGTCAGACTCATTTTGAATAATAAAGTTGGTTAAATACCCTGCCTCCACTACATAGGCCTGTTTGTCACATCATTATAAGCGTTTGATCACCACATTTGAGTCATCATTGCAAAAAATGTGTTTATGTATATATATTCGGTTTATGTAGGCTATATACAGTACCAGTCAAAAGTTTGGACAGACAAATGGGAAGGGTGTCCAAACTTTTGACTGTACTATAGCCTAAACAAAGAATATCAGCCGATATATCGATATCGGTCTAACTTTCATTACTTAAAAGATAGATTAAATGAATGTTATGCCTTACATTTTTTAATACACAACAGAATTTCTGAGCAAAAAGGCTATTGTAAGAATAAATTAGACATGCTAAAACAGAATTTGGTAACAACACAAAAGGTTGGAAAAAATAAAACATTTCATAGGGCCCTAACCATGAAGTATTTGTTAAAGTTTTAATAAATTGATGTTAAATTGTTTAAGTTTCATGATTTTAATTAATTAGAAATGCTTTTTGATGAATCAAATCAAAAAAAATTATAATTTCAGAACCCTCCCCAAAGCCGTAAACACTGTATACATACATGTATATATGCTAGGGATGCACGATATTATCGGACAGATATCGGAATCAGCCGATAATGGCTTAAAATGTAAATATAGGCATCGGCCCGATATGAAAAATTATGCCGATATGTCTTGCCAATAAGAGGATTAACTCACATGTGCTCAGAATGTTTTAGCGATTAGATCACGTGAGCAGCGTGGTCACTCTTGAAACTAACTTTTGCCTGAATGATGATTAGAGTCGCTGTTTTGGATTGCTGCATTTCATTTGAGAACGCACGTACAAGATGATGCATTCGGTGCATGATAAGAGTCAACAGTTTCTAGCGCTTGCAGTATCAGCAGCGGCTGCCTCCCCCGGGTCCGAATGCCTGTTCGGTAAGTGTTGTATTTGCATAGGGGGGGCGCTGTTGGCCTACTTGTAATAAAATGAAAGTAAAACACACATATCACTAAAAAACTTGTGTTTCTGAATAAATAAAGCAGTATCAATATCATAAAATCATGAGTGTGTTTTGATTTAATTATAAGGTCAGAAGCTATAAAAGATTTTCAGAATTTTTAAAACTCTTTTGCCTTAGACCATCTACAAATGTTAAATTGTAATATAATATTACCACTGCATCTTTCTGAAGAAAAAAAATAAATAAAATTCAGTTCTTGATATTTAGTTCATCATTATTATTGAATTCTAACAATTAAGTTTTTGTTAAAAACGAACCAAAATTAAAAATAATTTGTTTATCATTTCTGCACAGGAGAGACTTGGGGTTGTTTCCAAACAAAAGAAAACATATCGGTATCGTCATCATCTATCGGCCAAAATGAGTTGAAAAATATCGGCAAAAATCCAATATCGTACATCCCTAATATATACAGTGGGTACGGAAAGTATTCAGACCCCCTTACATTTTTCACTTTGTTATATTTCAGCCATTTGCTAAAATCATTTAAGTAAATTTTTTTTCCTCATTAATGTACACAACCCAACCTGCCAGAACTGGAGAGGCTCTGCAAGGAGGAATGGCAGAGGATCCTCAAATCCAGGTGTGAAAAACTTGTTGGGTCTTTCCCAAAAAGACTCATGGCTGTATTAGATCAAAAGGGTGCTTCTACTAAATACTGAGCAAAGGGTCTGAATACTTAGGACCATGTGATATTTCAGTTTTTCTTTTTTAATAAATCTGCAAAAATGTCAACAATTCTGTGTTTTTCTGTCAATATGGGGTGCTGTGTGTACATTGAGGAAAAAAAATTAACTTAAATGATTTTAGCAAATGGCTGCAATATAACAAAGAGTGAAAATTTAAGAGGGTCTGAATACTTTCCGTACCCACTGTACATATTACACATTAAAAAAAATTATATATAACATTATAATTTTACAAAACATCTCTTTTTGTGTAGCATGTATGAAAAAATTCATTCGAATGGAATGAAGGCAAGAATATGATGGTGCATCTTTGTCACAGTCTTACCCCAATCGGAGAACATCTCTCCACAAACTTCAGCAACTGTGACTTGGCTGTGCCTGGATCTCCCAACATCAACAAGTTTATATCACCCCTGCGTGTCAAACCATCTGGCAACCTAACGAAAACAGTTCCATGCCAATTAGAAAGATGGCAAAAACACACAAGCTGGGAAGAGGAGGCAGTTTCTGTTTTCTATGTTTACCTCTTTCTGGAGCCCCCAAACAGAAGGCACACTATGGCTTTTTTCAGGTCGTCACTACCGTAGATGGATGGAGCCAGAGAGCGAGCGAGCGAGTCATAGACGGAGGGAGAGGAAGCCAGAGCCCTCAACTCCTCTTCCTCCTGAGGAGAAACTGAACCAGAGGCTCCACGGCCTGAAAGACGGTGAGAAGGACATGAGAATGGCTAAAGACATGCTGTTTTCAACCAAAAAAAAACCCATTAGTTTAGTCCCATGCTCACCTGCTCCTTCAGTATCCACTTCAATGCCGACAACACGCAGGTACGCTGCTCGGATGCCCACACCTGCTCCCTTATCACGACCTTTGGCCTTGGTCTGCGCCACCTTCTTGATGGAGTAGATGCCCATGACAGTTACTCTGTTTCCTGGTACTACACGGTCGCATAAGTACCTGGGAATGGAAAAGTGGCAAAAAATTAAGGTCTTGAAATCTCATGATTTGATTATTGGGGTTATGACTTGATTTAAAAAAGATTTTAAATTTAGAATCAAATTTCATTTCAATATACAAAAACTACTGCTACGAAAAAAACATTTCTGCCGGTTTTTGTTCTGTGCCTTTCATTTCTGGATTACAGTGTTCAATGTACACGGTGTCAAAAAAAACAAGACATAGGCTATTACCAATCAAATTAAACCAGTATCGACAAGTCATATTTGCAAAGCAGAGGTGGCAAAATAGCTACATCTGAAGTGGCATTTAGGTATATTTACTATTTAATGCAGTCCACAGCTGGCATAAATGCATATACATTACACTTGAATTAAAAAAAAAAAAAAAAAAGTAAAACCTCAAATTTAACCAAATGAAATGACACTTTAAATATGCAACTAAAACATCCACTAGGTGGCAGGAAAAATCCCTGTCTTAATGAATGATTCATTGAGGTTCACAAAGGTAAAATATGCATCTTAAAGTGCACAAAGTTCTTCAAAGAATATTTCACCTAAAATGAAACATGGGTCATCATTTACCCTCTCGTTGTACCAAAACTGCATGCATTTCTTTCTTTCTGCAGAACAGAACAGTTTTGGTTCCCATTGATTTCCACTGGATTATTTGACCATACTGAACTGAAACTCTCTCGGAACTAACATTCTTCAAAATCACTTGCTTTGGGGTCCACAGAAGACAGACATACCAGCTTGGAATGACATGAGGCAATTAAAATGAGGACATTTTTCCATCTTTGGGTGAACCATCCTTTTAGTCAAACCATTCATTCAAAACAGCCGATTCATTCAGAAAATAAGCAAGTAACTTGCTGAAATCAGAACAGCATACTGACATGCTATAATTATCATAATTTCTGTCATAAAAAGACACAGTATAAATAGTAAGAACAGCATGCAGTTTCAAATTCAGCAAGTTTCTTTATGAACATGTCATTGAATCATTCAATCAAATGATTAGTTCAGATACGCTTGGAGATGCGCAATGGTTCTGCTCCAGCTTTGCTTAGAAATATTTTTAATTGACATTGTAACTGCTGAATTCTATTCATAATGCAGTGAATGCATGCACTCAAGCCATAACACATACAAAACAGTTTACAGACAAAAAAAAAAAATCATTTCTTCATCATGTGACAACTTGTACCGGTCGCAGTAGAGCTGCATGTGTCGTGGCATCTCTCCGTGTGGAACAGCATCAGGAGCTTCTTGCAGACGCAGAGTTTGGAAATCCACACACACGCATTTGTCCGGAATAATGAAATACGGATCCACGGGACACTTGACACGGCCCGCCTGCTCACTGTGGGACAAAAAAACAAAAAACATGCTACACTTATTCTGTATTAAGATGTAATTGTATTCAAGTTCATTGTCATTCAAGCATATACTGAATTAGTGCTACAGTATTTCTAAACAGAATGAAGCAAGTATTTTGCAAAACACTAACGTGTTGCACTTGCGGGGCAGAGCGTAACCCTGCAGTCCCGGTGGCAGAGGGATGTTGCTGATAACTGCTCTGCATCCGCGGCACTGAAGACACACTTTGGTGGCTTTGGCCCTCACAGCCGTAGAGGATATGATAATACCGGGAATCTTCACGAGACGTGACACCTGCTCCGACTGCAAAAGATGACAGAGACAGGCAGAAAAAACACTTATAAACTTAATATAGAAGTATGAACGTGGCACACTAAGGCACAAAAACACAAAGCTAGAAGTAGAGTAAAAAAAAATGCCGATTTGCATCTGATTTAATTTCGAATGGTCTTATTAGGAGTTTATTTCCTCACTTTCAGGTTACGGATGGAGGCCGGGTGGGCGTCGCTCTTCAGCATGACCTGTATGTCCTGCACAGTCTCTTCTCCTGCTGGCCGCGGACGCGTGACCTCATCAGCCACTTCCTGCGCCGCCTCCTCCAGCTGTCAATCAATCAATGTCAAATTAACAAACCGCTGATGTTCAAGTGGCACTTACGCATTTCATAAATATAATACACCATGCTGGAAAGTGATAAACACTTCATAATAAATTAGAAGTCTGTAATGAACCTGAAAAAAAAAGTAGAGTATTACATTAAATGTGTAAAAACAAATGTGTATTTCTTAGTTCAAAATAAACATAAAAAACAATAAAATATAATAAATAATTATTTTTAATTGTATGCTGTAAACAGATCCAACACAACTTCAGTAAGATTTCCAATATTTATATGGAAAGTTATTTTTGCAAGTGTGTCCTTACCAAAGGCAAGTTCTCAGTAGGTAGTTTATACAGACAGTCTGACAGATCTTCATCAAAACTGGCCAAATCCTCCATCTCCACCTCAATCCAGTACTCTCCCAAAGTATAGTGCCTCTTGAGTTCATCTCTGGAAACCAAAAAACACAATTAGCAGTGTTCTAAAGCATTAAAACAATATAAACAAAGATGTCTATCTAGGTTTAATAAGGTATTGTTCATTATATTAGGGAAAATGGAGTTGGGAAATCATTCGTTTAAAATGAATCGGTTCCTTCGAACAAATCGGTTCATTGAACCGATTCAAAACGATTCCCCGCTTCGCTAGTGCAACCAACTCATTTGCTCGCAGAATTCAATTTGTGTAGTTAAAATATATATATATTTATGGTTATGATGCACACCAGCAAGTACGTGAGAAACGTTTTGCGAAGACGATAGCCCAACATGCTATGAATCGATTCAACCGAATCACTCAAAAAAACAATGCGTTCGCGAATCGGACATAAGTTAAAGGCGAATCTGCAACAAATTTAACACGGGACAAAGATCGGATATAATAACAAATAATAGCCAATGATTAACACAGACAAAATATAGGTACTTGTTATGCAAAACGTGTTTTGTCACTGTGAGAAAAAGAACCACTAAGACGCAAGAAAAAAAAGCCCCGTGATATCGCAATACCTGTATTTGTAGGTGAATCCGGTGCGATCGGTGCCGACTCGGAATTGTCTCAAAAACTCACGGAACTTCTTTTTGATCTGGCTGCGTTTCACGACCCCCTCATCACCGATGCCTTCACCTCCTCCAAAACTGTCACTGTAATAAACTCCTGGATCATCAAACCCCGACATCCTGCTAATATTCTGACTCCTTGTAATAAACGATCAATACGATATTACTTAAATAAGTGCTTTCAATGCTAAGCTTAAATGCTGCTATAACACTGTGTAGATCAGAAACAACAGGGTGTCTTCCCTGCAACACGCGCACTGGATTTCGCGGCAAAACCTCTAGCCCTGCCTCGCGCTGAACTCAGACCCCACCCTCACTCAATTTTCCGACCCGCTTATTGGTCCACAAGGCGTTCTGACGAGTTACGTCACGAAAAAGGTGGCACCAAAGTGGCGTACTGGCGGGAAACACACAAAGCCAAGCGCAGGGACCGGAACTAGCTGTTCTGTTTGGCGCGGAATTTCAGCTTTTGTTGAAAGGAGACTAGCCAGCTTACAGTTCTATCAGCAAAATCTTATTTATATAAAAATTAATGTGAATAATTATGAAATAGAAAGCAAAGTAACTGTAAGGTTTTAAGACAAAAGTCCAATTACACAAATGTCACAAATCTGAATTTTTGTCTCTACACTAAAACTCAAATGTTATCACATAATTGTTACAGCAGTTTCGTAAGCAAGTGAAGTCAAAACCAAGCTGACATACAGAATACTAAAGTCAGATATGAAATAGTAGATTTTAGCTTAAAACTTGAACGGTGTTGTCAGGACAAGAGTTTTACTTGTAAATGTCAGGTTTTAAATGGTATACCTTAATTACAGTATTTTTGGATTTGACATTTAAATGACCTTTTTCATTTTAGAGGTTACATTAATTGTTTCTTAAAGGGGTCATATGATGCTTTTTTAAAAGATCATTATTTGGTGTATTTGGTGTAACAGAATATGTTGACATGCTTTAATGTTAAAAAAACACATTATTTTTCAAATACTGTACATTATTGTAGGTCCTCTATGCCCCGCCTCTCTCAAACGCTTCGTTTTCTACAAAGTCCCTCCTTCCGACAAGCACAGTCTGCTCTTATTGGCCAGCTGACCCAGTGCATTGTGATTGGCCGAACACCGCAAGCACTCGT